ACATGACTTTAAAGCTAGTTCGACCAAATAGTAGCATGTTCGAATCTCCACAACATAGAGCAACGAGATTTGATTCTTTTTTCGTTATTTCTTTCTGTTCTTCATGAGGAGTCCGATGATGAAGCATGAACCAAGTTGAAACAAAATACGCAATATTCTTTGACGAGCTAAAATATTTGGCCTCTCAAGAAAAGAGATGGCAGCTGGTCTCCCAAAACAAATAAACATGTTCCATTGTTCCTTAATCTCCACCAAAACCATATCATTGATTAATTACTTAATTAATTTAAAATTATGTATTCACCAACATAACTACTATTTCCTTACAAATAGTCTCAATTACAACACGATGGCTTTTTTCTGAAAAGAAAAACTAATCAATTTTGTGGTCATCTAGAAGAAAAAAATAATATTGTTGTCATGGACGGTGCTATAAAGCATATAAGGACAATGTCAAATGACTGTGTCAAGAATCGATTTGTTACGACTATTCTAGAAATTTATGTAACAAACAAACTTAATATAATTATATTTAGAATTTAACTTGTCCAAAAAATTAAAATTGATAAGATATTATTAGATTTCAAGGTAAATATGCAACTCTAAATGAGTCGATTTAATGATAATATGGGGGGGGGGGGGGGTGATAATATCAACCGAAATATTATAGTTGTAAATTAAAATTTTAGACTACCCAAGTTTGGATCAAAGTGTTGCCAATGAGAGTGTTTTGTAGCAAAATAATGCAAGGAACATTGTTTTGCTCTAAAATGCTTACTCGAGTTCACTTAAAGAAAACACTGCCACTTAAAGTGTTTTATGTAAACACGCTCTAGCCAATTCAAAACGCTTTGTGTAAATTAACTTCGTGTGTAAGCATGTTAAGGCTGATTTTTTTTTGCTGCCTTTCACTATGAAAATGCTCTCGTTGATAGCTTCTTTGCCCGAACTTGGGTAGCTTGAGAGTTAAACTTACAACTACGGTACTATATGAGGTTTTTTTTTTTGTTAACTCTCTTATATTATAAGAAAAAAGATCTTTAAGAGTCAACAATCACTCCAATGAAAAGAATTGATTAAGTTTGAATTTTTTAGGGTTTCTGATAGAAACATGGATAACTATTTATTAATTATTATGTAACTTAGACAGTAGAGATTTGGAGTTTAATTAGAAGGGACAAAAACAAGAGAATTATGAAGCTAGCTAGCTTGTGTCACGCTTATATTGTCTGTACCTGTTTAGTTTTCTTGGGGAATAGACAACAAGTCCTAGCTAAGATTTACTGTTGGTTACTTTCTCAAAATGTCTTGTACTAATAAAGTTATGTTAACGCTTATACAGAAGGATCATTTCCTTTTTAGTTCGATATTATGGTACTTCGATTATACCTCAACAAATTCTCACATCAAGTCAAGGACCACGAACTTCGTGTTCTCCCATCTAGTGATTATCCCAATCCGGCTGCCAACCACCTTGTATGCCTAGACTTTTCGGCACAAGGATTTTGTCTAGATTTTCGTTTCATCCGTCAGACAGATTGCCAATCTCCATTTCATCCCATCCACCGGATGCTGATCTCAAATCACGACGACGTCACAGAAAGAGAGGGTCCACCAAACCGAAATGCACTATCTTGAATTCGAACCGGATTCCGACACCACTTGTTGAGAACGAACAATCCCTATTAGTACGATACCGTCCGATTTGGGTCACACATACATACGAGTTTGCCCATAAGCACCTTCCCCAAAAGACATTTGTACCAATGAGACAAGATACAGGCTTATTATACAACGATAATTTACGATAATCACTCTACTTTGTTATGTCATCCCATGAATCACTCTACTCCCTACCTAAGCAAGCAGTGTAAACCAAAGAGTATTGGATTTTCAAATTCCTATCCTATTCTGACAACCTAGCTAAACCCGTGATTAATAGTTAATTTTGGATTAATCAAGACAGCAAGCCATAGATTAAGCACATGCATGTAGGGGGAAAACAACAAGCTAGGGGAATGACAGGGGAAGTAAAAAAGGACAAGGCAAGCCCCGACAAAGATTTGGCAGTAGAGAGACACAACAACAACAACAACCAGTCTGACATCTCATCGTCTTCCCCAAATTATTCTCCTACTTCTGTCCTTTTGATTGATTATTCCCTCGAGACTAGATTGCTCAATTTAATTTCATAATAAAGTTCATGTGGCTGTGGCTGCAGCAGGCTAATTGCTTGGACCGCCGCTCTCTCGAGCTGTGTTCTGTAATAAGGTGAGGGAATTTTTGCTTCTGTATATGTTTTGTGTTGGTAAATGGTAGCTAGGGCAAAGGGCCGGCTTTTGAGATGCGGTTCGAGGGAATGTTCGTCGATCGAGGATTAGTTTACCCATGTGTTATTGTTTTTGTACGAGTTAATTATTAATTAGTTACATTGAAGTGGGGATGGATGGGTTATTGTTACGTCGATTTTTTCGGATTAAGAACTTCCACGTAACGCGTGCCTCTGACGAATCGAACAAAGGAACTCGAGAATTGCTTTAGGACGAAGAGAAATAGACCTAGAACGAAGAGGAATAGAGGACGGGAAAAGGCAAACTACAAATCTAGCTAGCTACTTGGATCCCAGTCTTCTCGTATTATTATTATTAAATGAAAGAGTGAGTACATATTTATAGGCATAGAACATCTCCTTTTTTCCTACCTAAAATATGAATACTACTCCCGCACAAGGAAAAGATAACCAAAAATCCTAAATATATTAGAAAATAATTTAAATCCTACTAAGACAATTAAACAATAATAATATCATAATTAATATAAAATACGAACTAATTAATAAAACTACTAAAAATAGATGATACCAGAAATTCCTAGATTATTATGAATGACTCGTATCGTAACAGGTATGCATATGCCTCGCTATTAGTTCATGATTTGACATTAACCACTTGTAAATAAACTTGCATGAATAGTAGTGATCAGTCCAAATATGCACTCATTGAGTAGGGATAAGTACAAAATTTGAAGTAATCTAGGTTAATTACATAGGTTAATCAGCTAGCTAGCTGCAACCGGCAAATGATTTGACTTCTTAGCTTAAAAGAGAAAGAGTCCCCTTTTTTTCTGAAGCGGGAAGCCCGCCGGTCGTACAGTTGTTCCCTCCGGCCGGCACTTTCCGATGCTTTTTGGTGGTGGGCTAAAGCTGAAGTGGGAGGAAAAGAGGGATATAAAGCTAGGGCGTGTTGGGGGATAGGTTTCTCCAAAACCCTAGTTATATAATTGACCGAAATCTTGCAAAAAAGTGTTGGTGGCGAATGAGGTGGCTAGGTCAACAGTAAAACGATCTAAGGCGAGTCGTCTCTGAGGTTTCTGGTTCGATACTCTTTAGTGGTAGCTTGGGAGCTCGTCTCGAGATTTCAGGTTTCAATACTCATCGTACCGATCGACAATCAGTGACTCGAGTCGATGGTCACTGACGTTGCTGGACAACAACATCATTCAAATAATGCTTACTGAAAGGGTTCTTCATCATAAGAAAAAAAAGTGTGGGTCGCCCACAAACCATGAATTGGTTGCTAGCCAGCCTCTGGGGGATATTCTATTTTGTTCATATGAGAAGGTGCTAGTGGGATTCTATATATTAGGTGAAAATATATCGATGTTACATGTTTAAGTTGTGTGCAATGTATAATTGGTTTTTATATTAGTTTTATTGTAGTATATGATAATTTTATTCAATAAATTTTAACACCAATTCTAGTCATTTGTAAACATCTTTCGAGACGATAATATTTAGGAATCTATGTTTTCAGTAGCTTTTTTTCTGTGCTTGTTGTATATTTTTCCTGTTCTCAAACTTGGAAAAGACTCCGGATTATACATGAGTACTCTATGAAATAATTTTGAAATTCTCTGTTTAACAGGAAAGGGGAAGTTTCCAAAATTCGTCACTAGAAAAATCAATAGTTGGGGAGTTAAGTTATTGGTTGATTGGACATCTACTATGAAATAATTGGTGTAAGCACACCTTGAGCAACATGGTAATAACAAGTTGGTCTATTTGAAAATTCCATGAGTGATTGTTAGAAAACAAAATTCTACCATGCAATCAAAGTAATGGAAGAAAGCTGCATATATACCTTTCATATAGTGTTTCTACTAAACATTACTTTGGTAATTAATTAATTAGCAAATTCATAACAATTTATCAAAAATACCAACTAAACAAATTCTTGTTTTCTATTTTCATGTTATTGTGATTGTACTTGGTAGTAAATAGTATACAAAGGATAATTGAATCTCTTCCCACAACTCGAATTATTGGGATCAATTGATTCTTGACATGGTATCAGAGGATTTTGGGCTAAGAGTCTTTTGTTCGAATCCCAATAACCCCCATATGTTCTGTCAAGCATATGATGTTCGGACCTGTCCAAACTTCAAAACTATACGAGCAAGTTCCGTTTTAAAGAAGCCTGTTAGTAAATGATATTCTTGACAATACCTGATTTATTGTCTCTGCAATCAACTCTACTCCAGTGGTGGAGCCGCGTTATAGTCAGGAGGGGCTATATCGCCCCCTCCTCAGCTCTTAAAATTGTGTAAAATTTGGAACAAATTTGAAAAAATAGAATAGGTGGTAAGACTTTAACTCCCATCCCCTATTCAAAATTCTTAAATCGTAAAATTTTAGCCACTCTTATTCATATTTCTGGCTCCGTAACCCTCACTGCTCTACTCCAACCACCACGGTAACAAAGCTATAATTTGGAGAATTTCTTCTACCACCTTTCCCTGCCCCACTGTGGGATAAAGCATGAAAGCAAATGGAGGAGTGGGGCGAGAAAATAATACCAACCAAGAAAAACCATAGAAAAATGAAAAGCAAAAGAAGCCAACAAAAAAAAAAAAAAAAAAAACCCCAAAACAAGAAGAAAAAAAAAATGCTAAAGCCAATAATAAAAGAAAGAAAGCTGAAGTAAAGACACAACACAAAAGGCTCTTCTTCTTCTTCTCTCCCTCACATTTCATTTAAACCCCCTTCAAACACTCCACAAGTCCCTTCGATTCCCCTTCCATCAAAGAGGAGACTTTCCCTTCCCCTCTCCAAAGAAAAAAAAAAAAAAAAAATAAATAAAACTGGTGGAAAAGGGGTTAAATTTGCTATGAACCGCGGCGGACATGTGTTGCAGAGCTCGCCGGTGCAGCAGCCGATCATGATGGCCGCCGGCAACCCCAACAACTGGTGGAGCACCACCATGTCTAACATGAGACCTCCTCCTCCTCCTCCTCCTCCTCCTCCTCCTCCATCTACGACGTCGTTTCACCCCCAGCTTCCCAACAACTTCTTCCCCAACAATTATTCATCTCTTTTCCCGACGAGCACTCATCACCACCTTTCACCTTCCTCTTCACTTCCTTTCCCTTCTTGGCACGACGACGCTCCTCCTCCCACCTCCGCCGCCGCCGCCGCCGCACAACAAGACCACCACCAACTCCCCGATTCATGGAGCCAACTCCTCCTGTAATATACCCTTTCTCAAATCTGTTGTGTGTGTGTGTTTTTTTTTACGAGTTTGGTTTTTTAATTAGTTAAGTGTTTAAAGTGATTCGAACCTGAGACATATGAAAGTTCAAAAATCCAAACGCTTTTTTTCTCTTCTTTCCCACCTCTTTATATTGCTTTCCAAGTTTCTGATAATTACTCAGAAGACATGGAGTATAATTTTTTTTTGGTGTATTTCGTACCTAAATCGTAGCAAAAAACGACACAGAATCCAGTATCTCCTCTATTCTGATCTGTATATAAATCTCTCTTTACTACATAAAAACCCTATAGTTTGGTCTAACTCGTTGTGGTTCTTTCTTTCTTTCCTTTTTTTTTCTTCTTCTTGGGTTTGAAGCGGAGGATTGATGGCTGGGGAGGAAGAGATCAAGGGAGGGAACCAAATGACGATGAGCCATTTCCAACAAGCCAGCAAGAAGTTTGAGAACGAGCAGTGGGAAGAACAGCAGAAGCTAATGCTGAGCAACAACAACAACAACAAGGCTGAAGTAGTGAAGCAAGAAAGCTATGGAGGAAGCACGTATGGCCACCACCATCATGCAAACGACAACGACGACGACGGCCGCCACTTCCATCATCACCGCCACCAAGCTGTTGATTGGTCTCGTCATCCACCGCCTCCTCCGCCGGATCGATTGTCATCGGAGGTATATACGACGACGTACTATATCTAGTTTTTTTTGTGTAGAACCTACTAGCTTGCTAGGGTTTTGCTATATACAAATCCGTGATTAATTAGTTGTTAATACGTTGCTTAATTTGGTGTTAATACTACTTTTTTTTCTGAAGTGGGTTTTTTTTTCTGGTGGTGATGATTACTGGTTATTGTTTGATCAAAAAGCTGGATTAGTCTTCTTCTCAAATCATGATTAACTATGTTGACTTTTCTTCCCCCTTTTCTTCCTTTTTTGGTGGTTTAATAATAATGATAATAATAATAATAATCAGAGTAACGGCACTACTGGAGCTGGTGGTGGGGCTGCAGCGAAGAAAGCTAGGGTTCAGCCTTCTTCTTCTACTACTACTTCAACCCAATCTCCCTTCAAGGTAAATTAATGGAGGTTAAGCTGCAAGCTTAATTACTATGAATTATTATTATATACAGTTTTTTTATCTTTCAGAAAGATTATAAATAAATGAGAAATGAAATATATTTGCACAGAATCGCATGTGTATGTATGGACACATACATACATAGATATGAACAAACAAACACAAACAACTTAAAAGGGAGATGGTGTGGCTCTCTATTGTCTTTTTTAGATTGTCTATTTCTCCCAAGTACCTTTGATTCCCTTCTTCCATCATATGCATTATTCTTTGTCCACAAATCAAAAAAGAAATATCTCGTGAAAGAATAAATTTCTTATCGCGCACCGCGGTAGTCCTAACTAGTTCATTAATTCTCTTGTACGGTTTTCCGTCGAAAACGAATAGGTGAGAAAGGAGAAACTGGGAGATAGGATCACTTCTCTTCACCAGATCGTGTCTCCATTTGGGAAGGTGTGTATTCGTACCTATCTCTGCTTAATTTTATCGGTAACCCTAGATTTAAAGTGGAGTTTTGTTTCTGCCGATGAGTAGGTGTCAGGACGTGCTGATCATGTTACGCGAGATGTAATCTATAAAACTGTTTGCGCCTTATGACGCTTACCCGTCGGCATGATTAACTCAACTGTACTTTCTGAATCTACTGAAAGAATAGTTGTATTGAGATGGGCAGATGGCTATCTATTAGCTAGCTTCTCTATTTGGGCTTTCTTTCACATCCTCCTTTACCAATTTAGTGTCTGTGATACCCCTTGTTTCTTGAAAGCTGTAAAAAGAAGACAAGGAAGAACGTAGGAAAAAAAAAAGGGAAGAAGAACATGTGTTTGGATGTTTGTGGTGTGGTTTCATTCTTCATTTCTTTCCTCCTTTTTTGCAGACTGACACAGCTTCTGTCCTGTTAGAAGCCATAGGGTACATCAGATTCCTTCAAAGCCAAATTGAGGTGATGTTTTCTTTCCATTCTTTTGTCCTTCAAACTAAAATCCCAGAAAACCATGCAAATTTCCAGAGATGCCCCTCTCCCGGATAAATATAATCTAATCGTAACGATTCAAAGTAGAATACAGATCATACAATAAAAAATATCGTTGTGATCATAATGTTGCACCTCGACTTAGTCATTATTACGTGATTTAACGAGTATAGTTATCGCGACAAACCCTTACCAAACATGACCGTATTGAAAAAAGCTAAGTGAGAGCGAAAAAAGTTGATTTCACGATGCTTACCGTTCCTAAAAATTGCAGGCACTCAGCTTGCCCTACTTGGACAGTGGATCTTCAAACATGAGGCACCATCAGCAACAGCAGAACCAACATCAACATTCTTCTGTAAGAAAAATTTAATATCATAATTTCCCCCTTTTCTTTTTCATTCTTACATTTCAAGTCCCCATGCCCTGAGACATGCTGATCAATTCTCTGCATGCGTGGATGAAATTAAGGATGGGATTAATTAATTAATTAATTAATTACTTAACAACAGTTTTGATGATTTGATAATTATCATATGATCCTTTTCTGTAGGTTCAAGGAGAAAGGAATTGTGTGTTCCCAGAAGACCCTGGTCAGGTAATTAATCTCTCTTGGTACTTTGCTTTATTGGATCCATTGCCCTTTTTCCCCTCTGATAAAAAGATCAGGACTTGGATGATTGAAAATGAAAAGAATGTGCTGATTTGGGTTCATAAACAAAACTATCGATACTAAAAGGTAAAAAGGAAAAAAAAAAAAAAAGGGAACAGTACTGCTGCAGCTGCATGCCTTCATCAGCTTTATAAAGGGTTGATTAAAGTTCTGATTTTTAAGTTCGAATTCTGTATAATATTTAAAGTTTGGTGAGTAGAAAAGGCAAAGAAGAAGAAAAAAAAAAGTAACCCTTTTTTGTGTCACTCTTTTTCTTTGACCAATACAGCTCTTGAACAACGATGGCAGCAGCTGTCTCAAGAGGAAAGCAGCAACAACTTCTGATCATCAACAGGTACCTTAAATAAATAAAAAATACTTCCATCCTTTTTCCTTTATCATACCCAATCTTTGATGCACGTTTATGGATCGGTCGCTTATTTATTAATCCTTACAATTTGGTACATGGAATTGTTTTTTTGTGTAGGAGCAAGAGAAGGACTTGAGGAGTAGAGGGTTGTGCCTTGTCCCTCTCTCTTGCACACTGCAGGTTGGCAACGACAACGGGGCGGATTACTGGGCTCCATCCTTCGGGGGAGGATTCCGGTGAACGGATCGTGGAATATTCCGGCGAGCAACGTTGAAAACTAGCTCCCTGAGTCGTCGGAGGGATGGTAGGGAGAGAGTTAGAGAGAGAGAGAGCTGATAGTGAAATGATATACCATCATGAGCAGTCAATCTGCTCAAGTGAAATCCAAGGCTGATTGCTCATGATGCTATACAACTTCTGCCAAGGTTTTAATTAGCTACTATCTAGGATGTTTTTTTTTTGTTTGCTTGATATTAGTTGTTATCTTGGTGTAATTTCTAATTCCGAAATATTACGCAAGCACGCATGTGCGGTTTAACTGATGAATTGTCTTTTCGCTATGTACGTGCTCATAGATATGAATTCGAGAATGCAGTATTGGTTTAGTTTAGTTTTCTTTAGAAAATAGTGAAGTTGAAATTTTTAACTTGTAACTATTTTTAAATATTTCTCATGTTGGCTGTTTCTGAGTTTTGGATATTGATGATAGTGATCAACCTTGTTGGCAACATTTTCTTGTAGCTAGGGTTAGTCGCGTGAGCTATGCAAACTGAATTCTGAGAGAAAGGAAGAATCTAGTCCTCAAAGCACATGTTTCCCTAGCCATAAAGCTAGCTCAAGATTCCTGGGTGCTAGCTATAGTACTAAGATAGAGAAGAAAGACAAGACAAAGACATGCATGAGTGAATGACATTCGTTAGTTGGTGATAAGAGTTGTTCTTGTTGTTCTGGGAAATCCACATCCGATATTCGATAAAATTTGAACGAGAAATCGACAATGTAAAGGAAGTAAAGAACACACATAGATATACGTGGTTCACTAACACGATGTGTGTTACCTAATCTACGGATGAGAGAGACCATTTTTATTACAGTTGAGGAGATACATTATAGAGATTGAAAAAATATATGTAACACATTTCCCAAACAAGGACAGAGGCTACAAGCCTGGGGTGGCTATACGGTCCGGTTCGGTTAAATTGACCCGAATTGATCCGGTTCCAGTCCAGTCTTTTCGGTAATATAAGGACCAAAGATTGGATTTGATACAGTCCGGTCTTGATTCGGTGGGGTTCCAATTCGGTTATGATTTTAAATTCAACTTGTAGGGATTTGACTGGCCTAAGGCCTGAAAGGGTGAGGAGTTGGTTAAGTTTTGGGTGTTGGACTCTCTTATGCGGTTTTCGGTCCGGTTTCGAACGATCTTTTTTTCATCTCAAATCTAAACGCGAAAATGAGATTGGATTGTTTCCCCTCCTCACTTTAAATCGTTGCTTCCCCACAACCTTATTTTGAAAAATAAAACAGTTCATAAACCTTCCTCGATCTGCTTGGCTACCCATTAATATTCAAATCCATTCAACCTCAATATTTTAACTCCGTTCAAATTTCTGAATCCACCATTACACCAAGTCAACAACATCCAAATAGCTCTAATAACTGGGTTTCTTGGTTTCAAACTCGTCGACTTTCACCTAGGTGAAAGTAATCAATCACCACTTCAATCATGTCGATTATGGACATAATTATTAAAGGAGTGAAAACAAAATCCATGGTGAAGAAATGCACGTCTTTTTTCACATGCGCCTCCTCATGATTATGATCTAGCAGATGGCCCTTTTGCCACTATACCAACCACAAACATGCACTCCCATCCAACAACATGTCCATGATTCAAGAGTGGAAAATAAACTAGCCGTTTTTTAGCTTCTCAATTTCTAGTAGTTTGGCATCTAGCATGGCAGCCTCTTTTGCTCCCATTTTCCTTTTCTTGAACTAGACATACGAGGATGGCTCAAGTCGTCAGGTATTAGACTATATAGAGTCGGAACAGTATATAATTTTAGAGTTATTCTCTTACCCAACAATTTCCACACTTAGAATATGATGTATGTAACATTGTTTAATGATCATTTCACTAATGATTTTGCCATTCTTATCTTCCATTACTTGGCTATGGATTCACTTGGTCAAGTCAACAAGAAAATTCTTCTTTGTCTCGCTTGGATCGGGTTTTTATTTTGCTAAATTGTGAGAGAATTTTTTTTTTTTTTTGATTGTGGAGGTATATAACTGAGTTGACCATGAAATCGGTTTCTCACTACTTTATATTGATGACTTTGATCTTTTAGAAGAATCACCGATTTTGATTGAGAAGGATAGAGTGCAACGTTGTTTGCTGAAAGGCCACTTGGATTGCCTTTGGAAAAGAGAGGGAATATTAATTTGGAGGCAAAATAAAGAGAGACTTGGCTTAAATGTGGGGATAGGGATACTATATTTTTTCATAAGGTGGCAAACTTCAACCGTTAAAGGAATTCCATAGACAACATTTAGGTGATTGGGGTGTTGTGTTCTGGTCAAGAACAATTGGCTACTACTATTGCCTCATACTCCAAGTCTATTTTTCGAGAAGATAATCCTAAAAGGCATTTTTCGTTTGGACGTGATTTCCCTTCTCTCCCTTCTCATGCCACCCTCACGGTTTTTAGGCCTTTTGGAGATGAAGAAGTTTGGAAGGTAATAAGAAAAGGCAAAGGGGATCACTCTCCTGGACCTGATGGTTTTTCCAAGGGGTTCTTGAGAAATTTTGGTCATTGTGAAGACGGATATTTTGGATTCTTTGAATGCGTTTACTACAACTAGGGTTCATCCAAATATATTTAACCATATTTTCTTGTGTTTGATTCCCAAAAAAGAAGTAGTTTGTGATGGCAAAGATCTCAGACCCATCAGTTTGGTTTATAATCCCTACAAAATCCTTTCCAAGGTACTCATATAAAGATTGAGAGCATTTATGAGTAATTTGATTGCAGTGGAGTAGTGTGCTTTTGTAAGGGGTCATCAAATCCTTGACGCCATTTTAATCATAAATGAGTTGATTGTGTTAATGAAACGTTGGTAGAAGTTTATTAGACAAGGGGATTCTCTTACTCATTTCCTTTTCATTCTTATTATGGAGGTTTCATCGGGTATCTTAAAAAAGATGCAACTCCATGTTTTGGTAGAACGCTTCTTTATGAACGATGACCTTAAAAGTGGTGAGGTCACTCACGTCCTTCATGCGGATGACACCCTGCTTTTTTGTGATGCATCTGAAGGTCATGTTTAATATCTCCTCGCAGCTCTAGCCCTTTCTGAAACCATCTCACTTCTTTGATTGAATTTACACAAGAGTTTCATGATGGTTGTGTGGAAGGTGGAAGACCCTTCTCATTTTACTAACATTTTTTAGTGTGAGATGGTTTCTTTGTCGACGAACAATCTAGGACTTCCTTTGGGATCTAGAATGGCTATTTTGGCAGCTTGAGAACCAACGGTTGAGAAGGTCCAAAATCGTTTAGCCTCCTAAAAGGCTTGGATGCTCTCATTTGGGGGAGACTTATTTTATTAAAAGACGTCCTTGCAAATATTCTCATATCCTTCTTGTCTCCTTTCAAGGCCCCGACATAAGAGATTGCAAGGTTGGAAATAATTTATAATGATTTCATGCGGTCTTGTGCCTTGGAGATTAAAATATTGCACTAGGTTCGGTGAGATTTAGTGAAAACCCCTATGGTGAGGGGCGGTTTGGGAGTATTGGATCTCATGAGTGTTAACTGGTCTCTTTTAGGGAAATAGACTTGGAGATTTGGGCTTGAGAGATGCTTGGTGGATAAACATGATCGTGGAAATGTGGGTTAGGTGCTTCAGAGTGGAAACCTTGTTTGATTTTGGGGCCATTTGGTTGCTCCTTATGGCGTGCTATTGTCAACAAAAGCTCCTACTTCTGGGAAGTTGCTTATGTCCAACTTGGGGGATATGAAGTGTCCTTTATGCATGATATGTGGATTCCCGAGGAACACTTGGTGAGAGAGTTCCCAAGAGTTGGGTCTCATTCCCATTCCTTGGATGTTTTTGTTTCATACTTGGTTTCTTTGGATGACAGGTAGGAGATACCCCATTACAGTTTCCATGAGATGTGGGGATGAAGCAGAACAAGTTTATTTGATGCATTTGTTGTCTTCACTTCCACATAATTGGACTTGTGTCAGCCAAGCTCGTTTGGTTTGGCCTTTGGAGCTATCCATTGTTTTCTCTGTGCATTCCATCACAACACGTCTCATTAATGATTCTTTTGAAGGTGACAATTCCTTCCCCTACAAGCTCGTATGGATTTCTTGTACCTCTTTGAAGATTTGTTACTTTCTCTGGATGACCTCATTATCAAGAATTTCCACCAGAACTTGAGAAGAAGATGAATGATCATTAAAAATTGGTGTTCTTTGTATAAAAGCTACGAGGGGTCAATTTCACATCTCATGTTATATGCCCTTTATCAATGAGAACTTGGGAATCCTTTACGAAGGCTTTAGAGTTTCACGGTTCTTTTCCCGCTCTGATACAGCTTTCTCTCCATGTTTGGAGAGGATTGAGGTGTGATCCTAAGTCCAAAGATCGTATTAAAGTCTTGTCACATCTAGTGTGCTCGAGACTCTGGAGCAAACGAAACAATAGGATTTTTAGAGATATTATAACTTCCCCCATCTACTTGTGTCAAAAGATCATCCAAATGGTTAAGAGGTATAGGTGTTATTTTTGGGGTCTTGTTGTTCTAGTGCATTCTAATTGTTTCTGTTTGTCTTTCTATTAGTCCTAGTTGTTTGTCATCACTCTTGGGAGTTCCCATGCATGATAATGTTTGTTCTCTTTGAGTATTGAGGTTGTTTTGCCAAACCTTTTTCACATTTTCTTTCTTCTTGCTTGTATATGTGTTCGTTTTGTTGTGCTTTTTGTTCTTTTTCGTAATAAAATTCACAATTCATCAAAAAAAGAACTCACCACACTGTATCCTTGCACTGTCTAACAAATTTAGTTAGTTTTATGTTAGCACTTAACATAGATAGTATATATGGTAATTGTAACCATAATCGAGGATATTAGACCCTTCGTACTCGAGTTAATGAGTGTAATTTCTCTGCATTGATTGGGTAGGGAGGGGTTGGGTAATACTTACAAAGAAATTTGTATGGAGACTTTGGGTGTATGCTCCGCTTCATTCCCATATTTATAAGTGCCTCGCAAGTAATTTTTATACTACTTACACACGATTACAAGTTTACGACCCTTACCTTCTCCAACCTCCACCAAATTTTAAAATTAAAATAAGGCTAATGACTTCCATTTCACTTCTTCAATTCCATCAATACACATATGTCATTGTTTAGCCCTCATTTTTTCCTAAGAATTAAAAATTTGTTATGTTTCTCATACTATTTATGGTCAATATGTTATTAATAATGGTTGTTCAAAGTTGTAGCTCTAAATAATACTTGTCTTCAACTTACTTACATTATTTTTTAAGTTGATTATAGTTTGAATTTTCCAAACATGGATTATCCACAAGTATCTGAAAACAAAGAGATGGAAGTAAAAAACTTATATCCTACGAAACTAGGTCGTGCTTGGGCCGGCATGGCGCAGGCACACTTCAGGCCCGTTTTATCTCGTATTGTGCTTGGCACAGTCCGTTAGTTTTCGTGTCGTGCCATACCAGCCCACGTCTCATATTTGCTCAACCCGGCTCGAGTCCGAGCAATGGTTGAACCATGTCATGCCTACCCGTGCTCATGTTATGCTCATATTCGTGCTTAATGAAAAGAGGAAACAAATAAAAGAGGAAAAGAAAAATAAGGAGAAAATTGGACGGAGAATGAAAATATTAATTGAGAATGTTTGAGAAAAGTAACAAATAAGAGAAAATAAAATAAAATTAGAAGTATATTTAAACTTATAATTTTTTTTTATGGTTAAAGACACATTTGGTCACTGAGATTACAAAATCGGGACATGTTTAGTCACTAGAAAAATTTAATATCAAATTTGGTCACTACAATTACTAAAACTGGACGCATTTAGTCACTCGCCGTTAGTCTCCGTCCAACTCCGTTAATGAAGTCCGTTAAGTGTTGATGTGGCAAACAGAATTGCCTAATCAGCCGGATATTAACCCAACAAAAATAAAACCCGACCCGCCACCTCATTAAAACCAACCCAACCCGACCCAACCCATCACCCAACCCTACCCAACCCTTCTTCCTCCTTCCTCCCCAACCCAATTTAGGGTTTTCCCCATTAATCTGCCGGCCGCCCTTCCTTCATCTTCTTGAGGAATGTGGCGGTGCCGACTCGGAGCTCGGTGGTGAAGCAAGTGTTCCGCTCAGAGGAGATGATGAGCCATCAGAGGGTTCTTCTGAAAGCGCCTGAGATGCAGCATCTCAGCTCGGACGCTGCTCCATATCACGTTGTTCACAAGCTTCCGCCTGGCGACGGACCTTACGTTCGAGCTAAGCACGTTCAGGTAATTCCTTTCTTCTTCGAAATTTTGGTTTTTTTTATCTTCTTCTTCTTGGGGTTTTGGGTAATGGCGTAATGAATATGAGCAGTCTGGTTCCCCCCTGAATCGATCTGCACAGTACAAATTTCTCATTGATTCAATCCGATCTATCGTGCCCACTAGAGAAGTGAAAAGAATTGGAGAACCCATTTGTTCAAGTTAGTTGCTGTCGATTGGAAAATTAGCAGAAACAGCTCCTGATATCTGTTCTGTTCTGTTCTGTTCCTATGCTGTGGTTCATTCATTTGTTGAAGCTATATCCTTTTTGGTCTCTGGATTTCTGATTACAGTGAGTGAGGTTTAGAGTTTGCTGGATTATAACTCATAACAGCGTTGGTAATTCGTCGTTATTCGAGTCAGATAGGAAGAGAAAAGCTTAGCTGATCGAAGTGGCAGACCTTCTGTTGCACTATCTTCCAATTTGTTTCCTTTCCAATGGCGGAAAGCACCTGAGATTTGATCGGAATCTTTACCTTTCCTAGTCGCTAGCAGAGAATGCATAAAAGGGAAATGTGCAGGAGCGGAACAACTACGTCTACGTGGCCGGAAGCAGAGTCGGGAAGCAATTCAAACTCGATGAGCGGAACACTTGCTTCACCACCGAGCTCCGAGCCGGCACCGCCACATTCCTCAAGAAGATGAAGGAAGGGCGGCCGGCAGATTAATGGGGAAAACCCTAAATTGGGTTGGGGAGGAAGGAGGAAGAAGGGTTGGGTAGGGTTGGGTGATGGGTTGGGTTGGTTTTAATGAGGTGGCGGGTTATAATGACGTGGCGGGTCGGGTTTTATTTTTGTTGGGTTAATATCCGGCTGATTAGGCAATTCTGTTTGCCACATCAGCACTTAACAGACTTCATTAACGGAGTTGGACGGAGACTAACGGCGAGTGACTAAATGCGTCCAGTTTTAGTAATTGTAGTGACCAAATTTGATATTAAATTTTTCTAGTGACTAAACATGTCCCGATTTTGTAATCTCAGTGACCAAATGTGTCTTTAACCCTTTTTTTTTATTTGTTTTCTATAAAAAAATATTTCTCGTTACGCCGTACTTATACTCAATAGGATCTCAAAAATATTTGGCTTGGGATAACCCAGACTGTGTAGTATTCTTGCCTATTAAGTTTAGATCCCATGCTCCTCACAAATTATTTGTATTTATGTAAGGCTGTCCATATATTTTGTGTCCGTACTCATGTCGTGGTCTAATCTAATCCCCATGGATGGTCATATGATATGAGTTCCAAAAAGTTTGCCGTATTCTGGATAGTCGGTGGTTAGTATTGAACGCGCGCTCAAAGTTGGAAAAAGTTTGGGCTGATATCAACAGCCCAATTAACATTGAAGGCCCATGTTGCTTATTCCAGATGATGAAGCATGACGGCCGGTCAAGCGTCAGCTAAAGATGATTGCCAAAGCTGATCAATATTTTCGACACAGAACAATAACATATCAGCCATCTCTTAGCAAAAGTACCTTCATTCATAATCCCTCCATCAACTGACAGTACTAAATATTATGATTCTCAACGAAAAGAGGGAAGAGAAACAGATTTAGTAGCACACTAAGAAGCAAAGTTCAAAGGGAAGAACAAAACCATCCTCAAAATTGACAAATATCCTTGCTACATCAAAGCTAAAAACTTAAGACATCCTTTGAGCAGCTTCCTTGGCCAAGAGTCTCTCCTTGGCTTTGGTCTTGGCCTGAGACTTGGATCCCATGATCCCACCACCCCACTTCTTCCTGTGCTCATCGAACTTGTCGTTGAAGTTAGCCTGCAAGGAACGTATCAAAAGGAGGAAGCGGTTAAGACCGTTGCAGAACACAAGACAGAAGGGTTCTCAGAGGGCAAAGCACGGCACGAGGAGGTTAACGATTGCTAATGATTCGTTTTTCTTTAAAGTTAAATAGCATTTACCTTCACTGCCTCCAAAATCTTGCTGAACTCCATTTTGTCCTCATTCTTCACAGATGTAAGGCACAAAGCAGCAGCTGTCTTCTGGTGGACAATCTGTCAAATCCATTGTTGTCAGAAATGGCTCAAAAGTAGTCATGGAATATAGCACTCCAAAGTCAGAATTGAAAACCAAAAACTTACCGCTCCAAGCCTAGACTTGCCCTTCACGATAGCATATGGTACCTCCATCTTCCGGCACAGTGCAGGCAACCAGACAACCAGCTCAATTGGATCGACATCATGAGCAATAACAACCAGTTGGGCTTTGTTCTGCATAAAGATAGTAGAATGCGTATCATGAATCATATAAACCAGCATTAGCATAAATTTGAATCAGATAAGACATCGGGTTGGGAAAATGTAACAAGACAACCAAGTCGCAAAACAAGAGGACTACCTGCTCGATAAGGTAAGTCACATGGTTAAGTCCGTACTTAACGACAATGGGCTTCTTGGACTCCACAGTCTTTCCTTCAGCTTCAGCTTGTGCTTTGCTGATAAGCCTCTCTTTCTTAGCAGCTTTGTCCTCTGGCCGATACTTCAGCAAAAGCTTGAATAGCTGTGTCGCTGTATATATGATAGTGAGAAGAAAATAAATGCATGATAAGATGATCAACATGATCCACCAACAGAAGGAAACAACAATTTCCTGAAAACATACCTAGATTCTTGTCTAGTGCTTTCGTAAACTGGTTCACAGCAGGAGGAACCTTCAAACGTTGCCTCAAGATCCTCCTTTGCCTTTGAATACGAACAACATGAGGCCACTTGACAAATCTAGTCAAATCCCTTTTGGGAGGGAGAGCACCACCAATTCCAAATTGCTTCGGCCTTTTCTCGAACAATGGATTCACAACCTTATCCTGCAATCATAATTCATTCATGAGATCCCACTAGACTAATTAATCAGTCTACAGAATAGTACAACTCAATATAGAAAAATGTGAACATAAAGTAATATTCAAAGTCTTCACCATCTCCTAAGAGCTGACTAAATGCTTCACATCAGGAATTTACTAACGTGAACCAAAATGACAATACAGGATATGACTAAAGCATCAGAATCCCAAGGAGATCATTGAATACGAGCCTACAACAAACCTTGGAACCAAAAATCCAAAAGATTTCAGGTACAAGGGCGGATAACAACACCAAGACAAGCTATGAAAGCTTCAGAAACTCTGGTAACTAATTGAAAGAGATTACTTACAGATTTCTTCTTGGCAACTGCTGAGGGTTTAGCACCTCTTTTCGGGGCCTACAAAAACCAGGCAAGGATCCCATGTAAGTCTAAAAAGTAAATAAAAGAAAACCCAGCAAAACATCAGACAAACTTCATACAGATCAGCAACTTCACACAATAACAGCACAACACTGGCAGACCATGAACCCAGTTAACAACCAAGTTTGCAGCCATGTCGACGCGTTACAGCATTTTCAGGACCAAGCCAAATATCATCGCAAACGAATTAACAATGAGCATACCAACCATATCAGAACGTTGGTCTGAGAGAGTACTTGTAAGCTATACACTCCAGTCATCTGATCATCTCAGACATATAATAGAACCAAGCTACACAAATTGGCGTAATACGTATTATTTAAACCCAGCTTCCAAACAACCCATACCCCTCTCCCCAGGTGGAATGAAAGCGAGAAGCAACATTCAATGCTTGAAGACGCGCATAAACGAAGACAGCGGATCTCCTAAACGTATTCCGAGCCATCGGTCACACTGATATTCTACAGTGCCATAGTCTACCAATGAACAATCCAAATCAACGATGCAAACCAGAACAAAACACCGATTAACAGGTAGAAAACTACAAAATGAAAGCTTAGAAATTATCAAAGTGGAGCACTTTCGAGCTATAAACCTCGAATCGAAACACCGGCGGCTAGTCTTACAGATCTAATCAGCCGGACACGACGAGCAAAAGAACTCAAAAATCATCAATCGAACAAAGGAAAGGTTAAAGAGACTTCAAAAGTCAAAACAGTGACGAGAACAATCATCAGTTTTGGGATCCGAAGAATGTTACCATGGTGGACAACGGCAGGTAGAGGAAGTGGCGTCGCTAGTTCCGGCGGAAGTCCAAAGGAGAGGAAATATATGTGAGCGGAGCTCTGGCTTCTGCTCAACTAGGGTTTTAGAGCTCTGGTCGATTAGGGTTATATAACTCCTTCAGAGGGTTGCGGGTAAAGATTGCGCAATGTGGCCCGTGAATTTGGGCCTTCCTGGCTGTATGCTTGGCCCAAAAAATATGTCAAAATAGTTGGGCTTGGCAATTTATTTTTACTTGTTAACCTGTTGGGCTTGACATTTTGTATCTACTTTTTTTTTTTTTTATAGAACCAATAACAATGGAATTTTAATTTTTTAGTTGCCATTTGGCAATATGATAGGATATTCATGTTAAATTTCTTTTACTAGAGTATTTGTAAAACTTTAGGTTTAGAAAGAGGAAAGTGTAGTAGCGTACTAATAGTCTAATTTGGATATTCCTGGTCAAGAAAATGACGGCTGATACGCGGTCGAAAAATCAAACTCATTGGAAGCAATGGTATTCGATGATTTCGATTCGTTGAAGTACAATCAACGTATCAAATGCATCACATTAGAGTTCAGTTTATACTATCAAACCTCGATTTCTGTTTCATTCAAGATCTACACATAATTTCTTCGTGAAATAGAACCAAGGCAATTTGTGTTTAGTTCAGAGCATAACTTCTTTTAGTTGTTTCATTCAAATTTGAAATTCAACTGATTCCATACTCCTCTCCAGTGGCAGAGCCATGTTGCGCTCAGGATGGGCTGTAGCCTCCCCATCAACTTTCGCAAAATAGGTAAATTTACATGGAAAATGTGTAACAAATTCTAAAATACCAGTCCATTCACCAAAGACCATGATTCAAACCACTCAAGTGTATATTTTTCCTCTCTTTCAAATTTCTGGCTCCGCCACAACTCCTCTCCTACTTGCACTTCTTATGGTTAGGTTTCAGAATCATGGGTATTTCAGTGATATATACCCTCCAATGGCTTTACACGCCAAGAGTCATTTACAATACCTCCAACATTCAACAGGTAAGGCCCATGAATCCTGATCATCATCCCGCCAGAGCACAAAATTCCTCATTCTGACCTCAAGGCTTCCATTAAAGAACTATCAAATATTCCTAGCAAAGCTTATTCTCCACCTTAACCTTACTCCATTTCCTCCCCCGCCGGCTAGCTAGCTCCCATATATGTTGGGCGCAGCGGGTGAGAATAGCGAGTAAATATATTGCACTAAAAAATCACACGCTTGTAAAAAGTTCACAAATAAGTTGGACCTGGTGGCAGAGCCTCCAGAATTACGGTAACCAACTTACTTAGATCAATTTACTTCGGTAATTTAATAATGCAATATACTACGACTATTCTCAAAATAACAACAAGCATAGATAATAATAAATGACACCGAGGATTTACGTGGTATACCCTGATTTTGGGCCAGTCCACGGGAACAGCAGCTCCGGAGTATTTCTTTACTATAACAATGGTAGGTTACAGAGATTTTCTCGATACAAGAAATAGAACACACGGTGTTTCCCAAACAACCTCACTATTTCACTCACAAGGAAATCTCCTATCTACCCGGGGTAGTGAAAACGTTTCACTATCAAAAACCCACAAAAGAAATACGAACAGAAGCAGAGCAAAGGAGAGAAAATGGAGAATGATGGAATGGTGAGGGATGCTTTCCAAGTGAGCTGATCGTCTCCTTTTATAGGCTAAGAAGAGGGCATGGATTAATTGCAATTGGTTGAGGAATCCATCTCCCAACCATCCACTGCTCCCTCATTAGTTTTATTACTGATACCACTTTTTCCAATTATCACCGCCACTTTGATGGCCGGTTCTCCACCACATGAGGAGGGCCAACAATTCTCCCCCGCCCGACTACATGGGCGACGTCGTCATCCCTGCAGCTGATCGACAGAACTCAAACTTTTCTCTTGGAAGAGTCTTGGTACACATGTCAGATCCATTTTCGTCGGTATGGATCTTCTCCAGTTGTAGCTGCTTCATTTCAAGCACATCTCGTATCCAGTGATATCGAACATCGATATGTTTTGATCGAGCATGAAATGATGCATTCTTCGCAAGATGAATAGCACTTTGACTGTCACAGAACAGCTGCGGTTGTTCCTGTAGAAACCCAAGTTCATTCAGGAACTTCTTCATCCATATCATCTCCTTGCATGCTTCCGTTACTGCTATATACTCAGCTTCTGTTGTGGAAAGAGCTACACACTTTTGTAGCCTTGACTGCCACGATATTGCTCCCCCTGATAAGGTAATCAGGTACCCAGAAGTGGACCTCCTCGAATCTACATCACCTGCCATGTCAGCATCTGTATAGCCAACAAGGACAGGTTCACCATCTCCAAAACATAGACTCATTTTGGAGCTACCTCGAAGGTATCTGAGGATCCACTTCACAGCTTCCCAATGTTCCTTTCCTGGTTTGGAAAGAAACCGACTGACAACTCCAACTGCATGAGCAATATCTGGCCTTGTACACACCATGGCGTACATCAAACTTCCCACTGCTGAAGCATATGGAATTTTATCCATCTCCGCCTTTTCCTTCTCAGTAGACGGGCTTTGTTTGGACGTCAATGTAAAGTGGTTAGCAAGAGGACAGCTAACCGCCTTAGCATTATCCATGTTGAAACGTTGAAGTACTTTTTCAATGTACTTCTCTTGTGATAACCATATCTTCTTGCCACCTCGATCTCGAACGATCCTCACGCCAAGAATTTGCTTTGCTGGTCCCAAGTCTTTCATGGCAAAAGACTTACTCAACTCCTTCTTCAAGTCGTTGATTTTGGAAACGTTTTGCCCAGCAATCAGCATATCATCCACATAGAGTAATAGTATAATGAAATCTCCATCAGGAAATTTCTTCACAAATACACAGTGGTCCGAAGTAGTCTTCTTGTAGCCTTGCTCCCCCATAACAGACTCAAACTTCTTATACCACTGCCTCGGTGCCTGCTTCAAGCCATACAAACTCTTACGGAGCCTACACACATAGTCCTCCTTTTTCTCCTTCTTGAAGCCTTCTGGTTGCTCCATGTAAATCTCTTCCTCCAAATCACCATGAAGGAAGGCAGTTTTCACATCCATTTGTTCAACCTCCAGGTTAAGACTTGCTGCTAGTCCCAGCACAGTACGAATGGATGTCATTTTCACCACAGGTGAAAATATCTCGTCAAAGTCAATGCCTTTCCTTTGACTGAAGCCTTTCACGACTAGTCTGGCTTTGAAGCGTGGCTGACGGTTGTGTTCATCATGTTTGATCTTGAACACCCACTTGTTCTTCAAAGCTCTCTTGCCTTTTGGCAACTTCACCAGCTCAAATGTGTTGTTCTCATACAAGGAATCCATCTCGTCTTGCATGGCTTCTATCCACCTTTGCTTGTGTTCATCATTCATAGCTTCTGTGAAGCTTTCTGGTTCTCCGCCGTCAGTAAGTGAGATGTATTCAGTCTCGGGATATCTGGTAGACGGTCGTGAAATTCTACCAGATCTTGTTGTTCGAACGGGAGAACCTTCTATGGCTGGTGGTTGACCATCGTCCTCAGCATCTTCTGGTTGAACCTCCACATGGGCATCTGGTTCAACTATCTCAGGCTGATCATGTTGAGCTTCCTCTCCAACTTCTGTAGGCGCTGGTGTTGGAGGCACTAGCTCAAGGTTTGGCTGACTAGCATCAGTACTAGGAACTTCTTTCCTAGCAACAACATCTTCGATGGTCTCATTCTCGATGAACACAGCATCACGGCTTCTGATAAGCTTCTTCTGGATTGGATCAAAGAATCTATAGCCAAACTCATTTTGACCATAGCCAATGAATACGCACGGTCGCGTCTTTGAATCCAACTTTGACCTTTCATCCTTTGGAATATGGACAAAGGCCTTGCAACCAAACACCCGCAAATGTTTGTAGGAAACTTCTTTTCCTGTCCACACCTTCTCTGGGGCGTCATACTTCAGTGGCACACTGGGTGACCTGTTCCACACATAAACTGCTGCAAGCAGTGCCTCCCCCCAGAAAGATTGTGGTAGCTTCGAGTGTGATAACAAGCACCTGACTCTCTCTAGCAGGGTCCTGTTCATCCTCTCAGCTAGCCCATTCAATTGCGGCGTCTTTGGTGGTGTGAATTGCTGCCGAATTCCATGTTCCTTGCAGAAGGTAGCAAACGGACCTCTGTACTCTCCACCATTGTCAGTCCGGATGCACTTCAGCTTCTTGCCAGTTTCCCTCTCCACCAGGGCCAGGAATTGCTTGAAAACGTCTAGGGCCTGATCCTTGGTCTTCAAGGTATACACCCAAGTCTTCCGTGAATGATCATCAATGAATGTCACGAAATATCTGGCACCTCCAAGTGATTTGACATTGACATCGGGTTCACAGAGATCTGAGTGAACTAGATCCAACACGTTTTTCGCTCTTGAAGGGATGGAACTTTTGAAAGCAACTCGGTTTTGCTTTCCTGCAAGGCAATCGACACACTTCTTTAGATGAACATGATCCAACCCAACTATGACTTTCTTCTGGGCCAACTTTGCCATGGACTTCTCACTCATGTGACCGAGTCGTTTGTGCCACAATTCAATTGTGTCACCATTCTCCGCTGAGTTGACAATCTCTGGGGAGATCTTGGCTTCCGTCACATACAGCTTTGACAGCTTCTTGCCCTTGGCCAACACCAAGGAGCCTCTGGTGAGTTTCCACTGGCCATTGTGAAAGGTGTTACAGTAACCTTCCTCATCCAACTTGTCTACAGAGATGAGATTCAGGCGCATTTCTGGAACATGCCTGACATCCTTCAGTAGTAGCTTTGTACCATTCATCGTCTCCAAGCATACTTCTCCTTTTCCAATAACTTTGGAAAGGTTGCCATTTCCCATCCTTACCACACCAAAGTCACCTGGTGTGTAAGATGAGAAAAATTCTCTCTTGGACGTTACGTGGATGGTAGCACCACTATCAACCACCCAGCTTGTCTCCTGTGTTGTCAGGTTGACAACATCTTCCTCGTAGACAATATTGAACTCATCAACAGAGTTTGCACCATCATCATCATTGTTCTCATCTCGTTTGCCCTTTCTTCTCTCGTTTCTGAACTTTGGGCAAAATCTTCTGATGTGGCCCTTCTCCTTGCAGTGATGACAATTGATATTGGCAAACTTGTTGGACTTCCCTCGACTCTTGCCTCTTTGCTTCGAGCCTCTCGCTTCACTTCTTCCTCTACTTCTGGAATCCACCGCCAAAAGGTCTGACTGGGAAGATGACGAGGATGCACCTTGTGATCTTTTCCGCATCTCTTCATTCAGAACCCCACTTTTGACGATCTCCATGTTGATAACTCCATCTTTCGCAGAGTTGGTAAGTGAAATTTTTAGCGTCTCCCAAGATTCTGGAAGGGAAGCCAGAACGAGGAGAGCGACCACCTCATCTTCCATCTTTATGCCCATACCGGACAACTGATCCACGATCCCTTGAATTTCGTTCAAGTGATCCGCCAAGGATTTGCCTTCCTTGTATTTCATCTGGACCAACTTGGTCAGATAAAATAATTTGTTGTTGCCGGTCTTTGATGCATAGAGTGCCTCCAGCTTGTTCCACAGAGTTCTGGCATGAGTTTCTCCACTAATGTGGTTGTATACATTATCGTCGACGAACTGTCGAATGTAGCCACATACTTGCTCATGCTTGAACTCCCATTCCTCTTCAGTTTTGCCATCAGGTTTAGTTGGACTAAACACCGGCAAAAACAAGCAAGATGATAAGTCTGAATGGCTCAAACTATCACATATGGAGAAACAAGATGAAGGAACCGGCCATCAAAGTGGTATCAGAGCCACGTCCAATGGAGGCTCTGCCACCAGGTCCAACTTATTTGTGAACTTTTTACAAGCGTGTGATTTTTTAGTGCAATATATTTACTCGCTATTCTCACCCGCTGCGCCCAACAATATATACATGCCTCTCAGCCATTGAAAAGCTTCCCATTGTCATTCAGTGTACAAAGCAACAGGGCAGAAAATGAAGATGTCAATCTGTCATTTCCGTTTATGGAGCAGTTTGGTTCTTTCCCTGATCCTGTGGAGCGACACGATCACTTCCGACGCGGCAATCGGTTCAAGCTACCTGAGAAAGATTCGCGAGGTCAACAAGTTGGGTCCGTATCTGGGGATCGTGGTGCCCAACATGTTCGAGATGGACCCTCTTCTTCGATCCGATCGTTTCGTCCCCGATTCGAGGACGACAAGCCTCGACATTATGGGTACGTTATCCCTGTCACAGAGTGATGTTCTTGTGACAACTGATTGTACCATCTGTTGCTAAATTGATGATTGTATTCTTGTTCTTGTTGTTGTTGCAGGAAGAAGGTTCAGGGTAGGAAAAGTGGGACATCAGAAGGTTATCATTGTGATGACAGGATTAAGCATGGTAGTAGTAGTACCCCTGTTTTTCCCTAATCCGATCCAATTACCACCTCTGTTTTTTTTTTCTGTTCTCATTTTTGTGGGTTTGTTTTTTTTTTCCAGCTAAATGCAGGGATAACGACGGAACTGCTCCTGGCGCTGTTCGAAGTGGACGGCGTCGTCCACTACGGTATCGCAGGGAACGCAAACCCTGAACTTCAGATCGGCGACGTGACGATTCCGCGGTATTGGGCTCATTCCGGGCTCTGGAGCTGGCAGAGGTACGGATCCGGGCCGAACGACACACTAGCCCAGGAGCCCGACGACGACAGCTTCACCAGGGAAATCGGCTACCTGAGATTCGCCAACTACAGCACTAAATCATCATCGTCGTCGGAGTCGGACAACTTTTTGAACAGCGTTTGGTATCAACGGGAGGAGATTTTCCCGGTGGACGGATCCCCTGAAGTCAGGCAGCGCATCTTCAAGGTCCCCGTCGATTCGCGCTACATGGAAGTTGCCGAATCGATCGAGGTACTTAACTCTGTAACCCGTATAGCGATTATAGATTGTTTATGACATGGTATCAGAGCTGATTCGTTTTATTATGTATGCAGAGAGATGGCGTGGCGTTGGCGAGGTGCGTGAGCTGGACCGCCTGCCTTCCCAAAGCGCCGATCCTGGCGACGGTGGAAATGGGGGTGAGCGGGAGCGTGTTCGTGGATAACAAGGCGTACGGAGAGTTCCTGAATTCGGAGTTCAACGCGACGGCGGTGGACATGGAGAGCGCCGCGGTGGCGCTGGTTTGTTACCAGCAGAAGGTCCCTTTCATTGCGATCAGGGCTCTGTCCGATCTGGCCGGCGCCGGAGAAGGAGGCTCCTCTGCTCGTTCCGACGAGGCCGACGCGCTTGTTCACTTAGCAGCTGCAAATGCAGTGCGGGTCTTGATTAAGTTCATCGCCGCATTAGCATCTTGGTAGATTTTTATACTGTACTTTCAGCCAAATCGTCATTATGATGATCTCAATCTAATGTTGTTCATTACCCAAATCTTAAAGACACATGACAATTTGATTTGTCTTGCAATTAATTAAGGTTTTTCCTTCCCCTAATGACTTGGTTCATTCTCCACCTAACACATTACATTTCTTCCCGCCATGTATTCACATACATGTTACGCAACACATAATAGTCTCGGAAACCCAATCCAGCCAGCCATTGAAAGGTTCTCCCTGCCTACATTGTTCTGCAGCAATATATAAACAAGCCTGCAGTTTAGTTCATCGCCATCAGGAAAAAAGGGCAGAAAAATGAAGATGAATTGTTCCAAGCTGTTGCTGCAGTATCTTGTTCTGGTTCTCCTCCTGGTCTTGTGGAGTGATCACGAAATTTCCAGAACGGACGCAGCACTCAGTGCAGGCGACTTGAGAAGTGTTCACGAGCTCGACAAGTTCGGCTCTCGGTTGGGGATCGTCGTGCCAAACATGTTCGAGATGAACCCTCTTCTTCGATTTAACCGCTTCACCCCCAATCCGATCGTTCCTTACCTCGACATTATGGGTACGTTATGGCGCGCGCCAAATCTCAGAACCACTTCCATGTACTCGGTACGATCAGCCAACACACATCACATTAGTGAACCACGTTAATCCGCGTGTTCTTTACTTGTAACAGGAAAGAGGTTCAGGATAGGAAAGGTGGGAAACCAGAAGGTTATCCTTGTGATGACAGGATTGAGCATGGTATCTGAAACCCCAATCTGATTACTCAAAACCAACAAAAGTACAAAACCTCTGTTAAATTTTTTTTTTTTTTGGGTTCTGATTGGTGGGTTGGATTAAGCTAAATGCAGGGATAACCACAGAGCTGCTTTTGACCCTGTTCAGCCTGGAAGGCGTTCTTCACTACGGAATTGCAGGGAATGCAAATCCAAACCTGCAGATTGGTGACGTCACGATTCCGGAGTACTGGGCTCATTCTGGGCTCTGGAATTGGCAGAGGTTCGGGTCGGGGCCCAACAACCCGCTCGCCCTGGAGTCCAACGGCGACTTCACCAGGGAAATCGGTTACCTGAGATTTGCGAACTACAGCATTACTCCGTCGTCGGACAACCTTTTGAACAACGTTTGGTATCAACCGGAGGAGATATTCACGGTGGACGGATCCCCTGAAGTCAGGGAGCACATCTTTAAGGTCCCCGTCGATTCGCGTTACCTGGAAGTTGCCAAAATGGTCGAGGTAATTATCCTTTACAATTTTATGAAACAAATTCTTGGGTGCTTCAAATATCACCAAGTTTGGGATTTTTACCAAAATACAAGTCTTCCTAAAAAAAAAAAAATCCAAACATGCTAACGCTTACACTAAAAATTCTCAATATACACGAGTTTGGTTTGGTTCGCTAAAAAATGACTCATCCTCGAACCGGTTCGGATCGTGGCTAACCAAAAACGATGCACTCTTATCGCTAATAACTCCAGCAAACTAGTACCAAAATCACCGGACGCTCCAGAGAACTGCGCCAAACTTGTGTATTTTGAGAATTTCTAATGTAAGCGTGGTTGTGAGAATTTCTCTTTTTTTTTTATAAAATCTTGTATTTCGTAGAAAATTCCTAAGTTGTGGAGTATGATTTTTCAGTGGTTGTTGATTACATTGTATGTTACGATGTGACGACCATATCATTACAAACATGAGCAACAGACCTAAAAAAAACTCGTGTTTTCTGAATTACATGAAACCAGTAAACAAATCAGCAAATTTTAATACACAAAATTTTGAATCTAATATTGTAACTTTATTAGGATAGGACAACCAAATCAACTACATGGAAAATTATCATTTTTGTATGTTTGTGTATTTGTGTTAATCCGTCAAGGCAACTAAAAATCAACAACTATCAATGAAATCTCATACGCCATTAAAGAATATATTGTTAGGCTTGACTTCTTTCTTGGGCGGTTCTTAATTCTACAGAAACAGGGCGTGACCTTGGAGAGGTGCGTGAACTCATCTTTATGCCTGCCGAGACCTCCGGCGGCCGCGACGGTGGCGGTGGGAGTGAGCGCGGGCGTCTTCGTCGACAACAGGGCATATCGGGAGTTCTTGAGTGCCAAGTTCAACGCCACCGCCATAGATATGGAGAGCGCTGCGGTGGCGCTGGTTTGTCATCAGCAGAGGACGCCATTCATTGCGATCAGGGCTCTGTCCGACTTGGCCGGCGGTGGGTCGGCCGTTTCTAACGAGGCGGATGCTTTCGCTCCCTTGGCCGCTGAGAATGCCGTGCGAGTCCTGCTTAGCTTCATCGCCGCGTTATCATCGTCGTCTTCGTTAGCTAAATGATTATACTGTTATGCAGCGATTTTAATCGGATTATCTGTTGTCGACAAGTACATGAATCGGAGTATGGGTTTATACACGTTTTGGGGTTTCTATTCTGGGTATTGTCTGTAGTCTTACTTTTTATCAGATTGGATTAGAGTTAGCGCATATGAAGAAGTACTACGTATATACTTCTCAATCCCTCTGTAATCTCCTAATGTATAGCGAAATTGGCTCGTTCAGGCTCTTGGACTAACACACATGGTTTTACATGAACCACGTATGCGTTATTTGCGTTCTCACATTGTCGATTATCCCGTTCCGTTGCCAACATGGAGAATCCTAAACGGACGGAATAACAACGAATACACCAATTAGGGTGTAGAATAGAGTATTAGATCTCTTTTAAGATAAATTATTGCAAAGAGCAGACGGGGAAGTGATCACAGTTTTTGCTCAAATATTACTTGTTGAAGCACATATTACTTTCAATAATATATGCTTAAATTCGTGTGTTCTCGTGAAGAAACAAATATAGATTCTTGTTTCGAAGACCAATTAAACGTCGGCAATTAGGGTCGATTTCCATATGGCTAATTGATGGGATCATAAAAGATAAAAACACATAAATATGTGACAAATGGTGATTTCCCGAAATGACAGTTTAATTACGCGCCAAAAACTAGAAACTGGTGCGGCGGCAAAGCAATGCCGCAATGGGGCCGGCTATGGCGCTAAGCTGTAAAAAAAATGGCGGCCGGCCAATGAGAAACCGACAGCTGTAGCTAACCCTCTTTCCCGGGAAATTTCAAAGAATGTCGGTTTACATCTCTACCCTCGCTCGATTGTTACTTGGGAGCGGGTGGTTTCTTTTCTAAATGAAGGTTAAAATGGTCATTAGAAGTTCCCCGCGATTAAATCCACTCTTAATCCTTCCCTCTCTAATAGTGAAGTTCTCAAAGCCGTCCAAAACCACTGATCTGAATTTCTCCCCCCAAAAAAAAAAATGGAAAATCCGACCACCGTCGCCGGCGCCACAACCGCCGCGACCGCGACGACGGCAGAAACCATCATCCACCACACCACCGCCTTCCTCTCCAAAGCAATCGCCGACCCGGAGCTCCGGAACCACCTCCTGGCCCTCCTCCACGGCGGCGGCAGGACCCACTTCGCCGCCCGATTCGCCGCCGGCAGCAACCTCCTCAAGCCCCACAGCCTGGCGCTGGAGGCGGTGGAGAAGGCGATCGCCGCCACGAACCTCTCCGTACAATCCTCCTCCCTCGCCGTCGCCGAGAAGCTTCTGCTCTGCTGCTCGACCACTCCCTTCTCGTCCTTCCTCCTCTCCCTGATCTACTCTTTGGTCCACCAGCCGGCCAAAGCGGCCAGAGCCGTCCTCTGCCTCTTCCGCATCAACCCTTCCGTCGCGCGGTCCAAATTCGCACCCGATCTCTTCCAGGAGCTCTTCCTCGTCCACCTCCTCCCCGCTCTCCGGTGGTTCGAGGAACAGAGGACCCGGATTCTGTCGAATTCGGAGGCGTCGCCGACGAAGGTGCTGTCGAGGATGAACGGAGGGCAGACGAAGGAATTGAAGGAATTGGAGGGTATTTATGAGCAGGTTCTCGATGAGAATTGCAGAGTTTTTGCTGAGTACTTCATCAATGAGGTTTTGAGCGATGGCTCGGCGGCGGAAGTGGGGCCGCCGCCGGCGGTGGTTTTGGGCAGAGGCGAGGCAGGGGAGTTCGCCATCGCGGGATTTGGACGGTATAATGTAATGCTTTTTTTCCGCATCTTTCTTCATCTTCTCTATCGCTATTATCTTCCATGAAAACATCCAACACCATGTTAGTGAATCAAAATTCAAAACCAAATTGGGTCGAAAATCTTATCGATGTGCTAAGATGAATTCGTTCGATCCAACAAGTCGAGAACACGTAGAAGACGATCTAACAATGCTGGTTTTGTTCCAGTTCGACGGGATTAGATTTTGGCGGGGAATGAGAGCTTTTGAAATGGTCAAATTAATCAAAAAAGTTTCTCTAATTAGCTGGTTCATTTCATTCCACGACAAATTACCTCTGGATATATGCTTCAATTTCGGCTTTTGTCTTAAACTGTGAATAATGATTTCATTTTATGCAGCCGATACCAAAAGAAGAAGACGCAGCCAGTACATCTTCAGAACTCTGCAGTCCATTTGGCAGCAGCAGCACTTCCTCCACTCCCAATTCCAGCGGTCACCACCCGCCGCCGGCAACCTCTTCTCCTTCTTCTCCGGCGAAAGAAGCAGGATCCCCTGCTCCTTCTATCTCCGACTCCGACGACAACACTTCTTCTTCTTCTTCCACCGCTTCTACTTCTTCATCAGTATCTACTCCACCCTCTTCTTCCTTATCCACGGTGCGCAACCTCGTCTTCCTTTCCTACAATGTTATCCTTGTTTTCATCATGAAATTTTTTAAAAATGAAAACAAGATTTTGAAATCTCTGGACTGCAGGAAAAGAACAAACGAGTCGCATCGGTGCAGCCTCTACCAAATCCCCTGACTCGCAGAAACAAACAAACTCGGTACAACCTTATTTTCCTTAAACCGGCTGATTCCGGATCCAATTTCAATCTGACTCTGTTTTTTACCCCTTTTCCAAACTGGGTTCTCCTTCTTCAGGTCCTCAATGGCGGGTTTCGACAGTCTGCAGCTGAGCACTACTAATAGGCCATCTCCTCCGCCAAAGGACTTTGTCTGCCCAATAACGAGCAACATCTTCACCGACCCAGTCACCATCGAGACCGGCCAGACCTACGAGCGGAAATCGATTCAAGAATGGCTGGATCGAGGGAACTCGAGCTGCCCAATCACCCGCCAGAAACTGACCAGCACTCTGCTCCCCAAAACCAACTACGTCCTCAAGCGCCTAATCGCCGCCTGGCTCGAACAAAACCCTACCTCCTCTTCCCCTCCAATCGAAACCCCTCCCCGCCGGCGGAAATCCGGAGAGCCCACCACTACTCCGTCGTTGTCTCCCAACAGCGTCATCGTCGCTGCAGCGGCAGTCGACGGCTCTGTTTCTGAATTACGCCACGCGATAAACAACCTCTGTATGTCGGAGATCCTCGACGAATCGGAGGCGGCGGTTCAGACCATCGAGAGGTTCTGGCAGGAGGAGGTGAAGAAGAGTAAGAATCAGAATCGAGGAGGGATCGATGTGCAGAGCGTGCTGTCTCGCCCCGCCGTCGTGAGCGGGTTCGTCGAGATTCTGTTCAATTCCGACGATCCGGCGGTTCTGAAGGCGGCCGTCTTCCTGTTGTCCGAATTGGGGGCGAGGGACGAGTCGGTGGTCCAGACCTTGACCAGGGTTGACTCCGACGTTGACTGCATCCTCGCCCTGTTCAAGAACGGGCTGATGGAGGCTGTGGTGTTGATTTACCATCTGTTGAGGGGTTCTTCTTCTCCCGAGGAATTGATGGAGATGGACATGGTGGAATCTCTGGTGGCGGTGTTGGAGAGGAAGGAGAGTGAAATGGTGGAGATGTGTATGAAGCCCAGAAGCGCTGCGGTGGTTTTGTTGGGGCGGATGATGGCGAGTGGCGAGGGGAGCGCTGTGGAGGCCGCCATTGTTGAGGGTATTGTGAAGAAGGAGGGCGATGATGTTGTGGCGGCCATTGTTGGAAGCTTGGAATCCGAATGGGACGAGGAGAGGGTTTCGGCGGTTGGGATGCTGCTGAAAGTTATGAAGGAAGATGGGAGGCGTAGGAACACTGTTGCTGATAAAGCTGAGCTTGCTCCTGTGTTGGAGAGCTTCACTGGCGGTGGTGATGGTGAGAAGTTTGAGATCATTTGTTTCCTCTCCGAATTAGTGAAACTCAACAGGTATGATCCATCGTCCGAATTTCATTGCAGTCATAGTGTCAGGTAATTTGATGTGTGGTGAACGAACTTGTTTTTTGCAGAATGACATACAACGAGCAAGTTCTTCACATAATCAAGGATGAAGGGACTTTCAGCACGATGCATACTTTCCTCAACTATTTGCAGACTGCCCCTGTGGATCAATCTCCTGTCTTGGCTGGCCTTCTTCTTCAACTTGATCTTCTGGTTTGAATCTTCCTTCTCTCTGTCTTCTTATTTTCTTTGATAAATTTGGATGGAATTCTGATGCAGTAGTTTTTTACCGGGTTAGGCTGAGCCGAGAAAGATGAGCATGTATAGAGAAGAGGCAATAGATACCTTCATCTCATGCCTCAAGAACTCAGAATTGCCAGCTGCTCAAGTTGCTGCTGCAAAGACCATTATGTCGTTACCGGGGAGGTTTAACGTATCTGGGAAATCACTTACAAGAGCATTTCTACTGAAATGCGCTGGAGTTGAGAAGAGTTATCGAATCCTGACTCAGAATGAGCACCAGCAGACTAGGGAGCTTTATGGGGAAACTGCAGAGGTACCTAAATAAAAACTTGAATTTGTGTTGCTGTGAACTTAGATTGTCTTGTTCATGCTGCAAAAGAAATTTTGCGAGATCTTTTCTTCCGTTTTTTCTAACAATTCGAGTTACTGGAACAAACCGACAAATGATGACAACTTATTGCTGCAAATTTTTCTATCAGATAGAAGAGAGGGCAGCTGAAGTTTGGGACATGAAGATGGCATCTGCATTAGTAAGCCACGAGTTTGGAGCAATCTTCGAGGTGCTGGCGGAAGGGATGAAGAGCAGGAACTCAGAATTGCAATCTGCTTGCTTTGTTTCAGCTGTATGGCTGGTGCATATGCTTGGCGTTCTTCCCGACACTGGGATTCGAGGTGCTGCCAGAGTCTGCTTGCTCGACCAGTTCGTGACGATTTTCAAGTCGGCAAAGGATAATGAGGATAAAGTCCTGGCATTGCTAGCTCTCAAGAGCTTCCTCAATGATCCTGGTGAGTGAGTTGGTGGTTTCCTTTTAAATCTGAATCAGCTCCAGGAATGTCCATATTGACCACAAACACTGAAAAAGTTCTTTTGCTCTTCTTTCTCCCTTTCTATGGGTGCTACTGCAAATGCAGAGGGGCTACAAGATTTAAATAACAACATGAAAGATGTAAAGAAAGGTCTGAGAGAGCTGAGGAAGTCTTGTCCATTGGCAGTTGAAGTTCTCAAGGATCTCACAGAGGGAAAAGATAACAGTGCTGTAAGTTCTGCAGACAGTTTGGAAGCAATTATTTCATCAGGTTTTCTGCAGAAAGTTCTATTTTTTTATTTCTTGGGTTGGTTTTTTTTTTCGTTTCAGGAATTGTGGAACCACAAAGAACTAGTTCAGGTTGATTGCTGTGAGAATGGAGAGGTGCTTACCATTGCCTGCTTCAAGGACAAGATCATTTCAGGCCACTCAGATGGAACTATGAAGGTAAGTAACCATATTAACCAACTCTTGTCCTGAGAAATGTTGAGACCGAGTTTTGACAATTACTTCCGGCTTCTGAAGGTATGGACCGGTAAGGGCAGCATCCTTCACCTTATCCAGGAAATCAGAGAGCACACAAAGGGAGTTAGTAGTTTGGTGGTTCTGCAATCAGGAAACAAGCTATATAGTGGCTCACTTGACAGAACTACCAGAGTCTGGTCCATAGTGGGTGACACGTTGCATTGTATGAAAGTTCATGATATGAAAGACCCGGTTCATAATCTGGTGGTAGCCAACTCCATTGCTTGCTTCATCCCTGCAGGGACCGGTATCAAGGTGCGATAATCAAGAGCATCTGGTATTCAGTTAACGGTCTAACCAGTTACACCGGTTCGGTTAAGTGAGCTCAACAAAGTATTTTTGTGGTGTCAGGTTCATTCCTGGAGCGGCAGGTCCAACTTGCTGAACTCAGGGCGATATGTCAAGTGCCTCTCTCTGGTTCAGGGGAAGCTTTACTGCGGCTGCCACGACAGCAGCATTCAGGTACTAGCTCTGCACTTCTGATGAAGATTCAGTTACTGGATAGAAACATCTTGAAGAAAAAACTGACACTTTGTGGTTCTTTCTTCTCTTTCCTCTTCCCCATTTCCCAGGAAATCGATTTGGCAACAGAAACAGTATCATTCATTCAAAGTGGATCCAGGAAGCTAATTAGCAAAGCAAGTCCTGTACATGCGCTAGAGGTTCGAGACGGGCTCATATATTCAGCCGTTTCGCCATTGGACGGAGCAGCTGTTAAGGTAAAGGGGAGAAACCATGAACACTGACTTCCCATTTCTTCCTCTTACCATTGTTTTTATAGTATTTTCTTAATAATGTGAGGACTTGTTTGTTTGAACAGATATGGAGTGCTTCAAATCATGGTCAAGTAGGTTCATTGGCAACAACGATGGAAGTAAGGGCCATGGCTGTAAGTTCAGAACTGATATATTTGGGGAGCAGAGTTGGGACGATAGAGATTTGGGATCGAAAGAAGCACATCAGAGTAGAGACCATACAAGCTTGCACCAACAGTAAAGTAATTTCCATGGCTGTAGATTGTAATGAAGACATACTGGTTGCTGGGACTTCAGATGGATGGATTCAGGTAAACTTAAACACTAGTCAACATTTACTAATCTGAGATTTCTTTTCTCTACGAAGCGATAGATAGAGTACGGAAAAGGGTAAAACATTGATTGATGCAATTGGGATTCAACTCTGAAACTTTGGGCTGAAAGCACAACTGCTTTACTCTTCGGTCACTCCTATATCTTGTAGTTCTTCCCTGATCTAATGCTGTTTCTTCTGTTGATGCAGGCATGGGGAGTGAGCTAAGAGAGAGAGAGAGAGAGAGAGAGAGGTGTTGGTGTAAATTATTTTTGGCAAGAAAATAGGGTGGGAATAGGGTTCATCCTCCATCACCATTCTTTGTAAGAGCAGGGGACTTATTCATTTTTTTGTTCTTTTGGGGATCCTTCCTATCTTCAGTTGGAATAAATAGCCTTTGTATATAGACAGAGAGCCATGTAGTAAATTACTAAAATGTATTGTTCTCAATTTTATTTACAGGAAAAATTCCTAGTCTTTTTGTAGCAATTTGTAAAGGAGAAAATAACTTTTGGTTACTGATACTAAGCATAGATTTTCACAGAAATCAGAGAAGTTACCCTTAATGACGATAGATGCCTTGGTAATATTAAAAGAAGCTAACATGCCAATGCATATAGTCTTATAATCAGAACATTTTTAACTCAGTCACCTGGAAACAGTGAATTCGGGTTCCCACCTCGAACAACAAATCTGGAACATGATCCTTCGTCCTAACTGACCACTTAATCCACCTGATATACCTTCAGGACACGCACGCAAACGAAGTCATTAGCACAAAACAAGACCAGACTCCGGGATCCTTCGAAGATGAGTTTCTTAGGGCGAGGACTATGATCATCATCGCGACGAATTGTTGCAGATGCAGACGCAACATCAGTACTAGTACCAGCTGCGAGGTCCTCAATGTCTCGACGCGAAACTATGCGGTACCCACACCTTATGACCTCCACTGCTGCACCTGGCTTAATAAGCTGATAAAATGGCAGCTCCTCAAATGACAACCCGACACAAGCTGACCCATCCGAAAGCCCCTTCAACAGAAACCTGATGCTGTCTCCTGAGACGAAGAAGAAGCAAATGTGTTGTCGTTGTCTCTTGCTTGGTGAACCAAGCTGCTGCTTGCTGAAATGAGACCCATCTGTGAGATCGTTGACAGTGCAGCATAGTGCAAGACCCATCATGTCATCGTAGTCGGGAGACTTGGGAAGTGATACCCAAATTGATGAGCCATCTCTCTGATGGGTGAACCACTTTGGAATTCTGCTGCCTTGGACTTTGAAGACCAAGCGTTCCAATGTAGCAGGATGCTCCTGTCCCTGTCATAATGAAGTCATTCAGATTGGATATCCCTTGCATATATACAAAGTAGACAAGTAGTTGCGCGAAGAGGAAATGAAATTATTAGCTATGTGCTAATTTTACCCGAAGGAGTGGTCTTCTAAGCAGGGTAGGCCAAGAGCTGTCTTCGGAAACGCCATTCTCATCATACAGCTTCGAGCAATCAAGACCTTCGAAATAGAAATGTCCTCCGCTGAATTTCATGTCCGGCATTTGCCCCAAAGAAACACAGCCGTTGACGTACAGAAACTCAATCCTCGACGGGAGCTTGGGCAAGCACCTTAGCATCATGCAATTATCCAACCGAAGTGAATAAAGCCTCGACAGTTGCCCGATGATTGGCAAGGTAACAAAGTTGTTGCTGCTTAAATCCAACAACTCCAACGATGGCAACAAGCACCCTACATTGGTAGGAAAATCTCCTTCCTTCAGCCCACAGTCTCCTAGGTTCAGAGTTGTTATCATTGAATGGAGACCAGACAAGGTAGGCAACTTTGTTGGCATGTTGTACTGGAAGGACAATGTTTTGAGATGTTTCAGATAGAATATGGAGAGTGGCGGCTGTGAGATTTTTGTCCCACTCAAATCAAGCTCCTCGAGACTCTCTAGGCCTCCCAGCTCCCTTGGCACATTGTCAAGCTGAGAGCAGCCATGGAGGTTGAGCACCTTCAACTGCTTTAAGCTGCCAATGCTAACTGGAACTGTCTTAAGGCTGTTGCAGCTACTGAGACTCAGTACGGATAAAGCCACGGCCCAACAGATTATCTGTTGGAGTTCTTCATTGCTGAGAGCTGTACTATCCAAGTAGAGCTCTTTTAGTTTTCCAGGCATAGATGGGAGGTTGTGGAGTTTTGTGCAGCCTCTAAAACTAAGGCAAGTTAGCTTTTGAAGAGAACCGATTGATGGGTGAATAACACCAAGGCTGGTGCAGTCTTTGAAAATCAATGTTGCGATATTTGGAGCCCCGGTGAAATCTGGAGTTGCGATGAGGTTGTGGGAGTGACTTAAATCCATGGCATTCAAGTTGCTCATCTGTATGCCATATGAATGATGATTGTGAGTTTGCGTAACAAATGATTAAATCATGAAAATCTGGTTTGTTTCACTTTTGAAGAACAGAGAAGGCGATGGAATGTGCATGATAGTTTCTTATATAGGAAGAGTACGAAAGTAAGCATGGCTAAAAGCTGCATTACCTTGGCCTTTCCATGCCAGAGTCGACTCATGTTGCTATAGCACATGTTAAGTTCCACGAGTTTACTGCGTCTAAAAGAAGCCGGCAATGACTCCGAAGGGTAGCAATCCCACACAAGGAATCGTAATTCACTGGGAAGATCGATTGGTCCTTCTTCAAATTTTGCATTACGTATGATGAGCAGTCTCAGTCTGTACATGTTTGAGAATGCTTCCCTATTTAGTTGCACCTCTTCCTTCTCTGGTAAGTCTAATACAATGGCTTCAACCTCTTCCCTTCCCTACATTAACGATGTAAAGCAGTGTCACTAGAGAAATAAAGTAAGGCTAAGTGAAGTAATCGAGCAGGAGAAAAAAGTAATGAATGGGGAATATAACTGGAATTAGAAGTTTATGAAGTGTGTGTGATATACTTTCAACCTAAGTACCTAACAATAAAATAAAACTCAGCTAGACTAGGCATGAATGAAACCATCATGAGTTATGAACATCAGCGGTAACACTTTCTCCACTTACAGTTGGTGTCGTCAAAACAGAGAGGATATCTTCAGGATCCCACAATCGACTGCGCCTTCCAGGATTCCCGGGAGATTCTAGATGAACAATTTTTCTGCCCATATCTCGCAACAGATCATGCATCACCAATTTGCCCATGGGGGAAAAACTCAGGAGAGACTTCTCCACAAGATGCTTTACTCCAATGTCGGCACAGAAGCCACAGCTGTTGAGTACCTTCTTCACTTCGTTTATGCTCTTCAAGTTAAAGAAACAAGCAATATCCAAAAACATGTCTTTCTCAGGCTTGTTTAATCCATCAAAACTTATCTTGAGCACATCTAGGATGTCATCACAGTAGTCTTTCAAACTAGTAATAGCACTTTCCCACTCTCTTCTGCTTCTTCCACCGAGAAAACAACCCAAGACTTCAATCGCGAGAGGTAGGCCTTGCGCATACTCCACGACTCGCATAGAAAACTCCTCAAAACCCTCACTTGGCTCATAATTCTTAAAGGTCTTCAAACTAAATAATGTAAGAGCCTCTATGTAATTCAAACCCTCAAGCTTAAACACACCACAAGCTCCATGCTTGTACAACAATCTTTGATCTCTACTCGTTATGATGATTCGGCTCCCTGGACCGAACCAATTTTGGTTCGCAGCCAACATCTCTAGCTGCTCAGCGGAGTCCACATCATCCAGAACTAGAAGAACCTTTCTGTGCTGCAAGCTCTTCTTTATCATCACCTTCCCAGTGTGGGCATCCCAAACTTTGAGGTTCTTTTCCATCAACACTGCTGAAAGAAGATGCTCTTGGACATGAACTGCTCCATGCTTCTCAAAAGAATCCTTGACATTTTCAAGAAAACACCTGCTGTTTCGAAATTCCAGACTCATCTCATCATAGACAACTCTGGCTAATGTTGTTTTGCCAATGCCACCCATACCAGAGATCCCTACAAATCGAACATCATCGCCTGTGTCTTCACCCAATAGCTCCTTGAGCTTGTTTGCACGCGAACCCATTCCAACCAAGTTGTCCATGCTAACTTCCAATGTCCGGCTCAACTCAAGCCATATCGTGTCAACGATTTCTCTAACCATCTCAGATTGATCCCTGCAGATGAGAGAAGCTATTATATAACTATAGGGTAGTGCTAAGAGCTTGACTCGTTGGAATATCTACATATTGTTCTGTTCTTCTCCATCATGGTTAATCAAGCAATGGACTTTCCTAAAGGGTAGTAAAAATATCCCAGAAAGCGAATTTGGGAAATGAAGCTTTGGGAGATTGAAAAGGGGGAAAACAATAGAAAAGGAGATAGAAACCCTACTTGTTCTGAACATCCCAACCGGAAACATTGCCCACTTCTTCAAGAGCCTCTTTCCATTGCTCCACCTTCCCCGCACTATCTCCACGACAGTGCCGATTCAGTGCTTCGCCGTACTCTCCATTCAATTCAGCCACAACCATGGGATCCACATCGTAAAACACAGGCAGAACAGCCTGCCCCAGCCGCCGCCTGCAATCGACAATCTTCGCCAATTCGTCCAGGCACCAGGGAGATTCGGCGTAGCCTCTGGAGAACACGACGATGGAGAATCTCGAACATTCAATTGCGCGGAGGAGCGACGGCTCGATAGTCTCCCCTCTGGCCAGCTCGTTGTCGTCTCTGTACGCGTTGATTCCTCTCCGAACTAGGGCTCCGTAGAGGTGGGCTGTGAAGCCGTGACGAGTGTCGGCGCCGCGAAAGCTCAGAAAAACGTCGTGTGCAAATGGAGGAGGAGGTGTTTGGCTGCTGCTTGTGGAGGCCATTTTCGAGGAGAGATTGGAGGAGGGAATCGATTCCGAAGAGCGATTGGAGCTCCATGTTGGAGAGAGCAGAAGAGACTATAAATGGCGGGCAGCAAAAGCGGGAAAACCCTAAAAGAATGACCGATGAAGAAGACTGACCTGAATTGGGAAACGATAAGGAGAGGGAATTTACAGTAGAACCATCGTGAAAAGGACCTCGCCGGGATATTTCGCGGAGGAGACGGCGGAAAATGGTGACAACTGACAACAGTACCGGCACGAGCGTGGAATATATCGATCTCAAAGTTTCCTGGAAAGTTTTCATCGGGAAAGAAGTTTCCCGGGAAATTTTGTTTGTGTTACGCCGAGTAGGGATGAACAAAAATATTAGCAAACCGGTCCAATTCGATCCAACCCATCAGTAATTATCGCTTATTATAGTTAATAAATATTTCATTTAATACACGTATTTTATCCATTAAAATTTTTTGTATCCGTATTATTATCAAGTCGTTTCATTTTTTTCGTTCATTTGATGACTCTAATACTAAACACGTATAAAACCCGTATAACACGTTTAATATCCGTATTTAATTAATGAAATTGTTAACTTT